GAAGGAAGGAAGGATGGATGGATGGAAGGAAGGAAGGAAGGAAGGATGGAAGGATGGAAGGAACAAAAGAACGAAGGAAGGAAGAGATTTAGGATGGAAGGAACGTAAAGAACGAACGAATAGATCGGACGGGTGGAGTAATGGATGGACGGGTAGTGGGATGGAAGGATGGACGGGCGACAAATCTAAAAATCGCATCGGTATACCTCAGTTACAATAGAATCAAAATCCCCCTCTGCAGCAAATTCCCAGTCCTTACGTGGAATACCACATCGTTTTTCATAATGGTTGTCCCCTACTTTAAAGGTTCCGTTCATCGTACATGAAGTAGAGTTCGCAGCACATCTCCAGGGAGGCTCGGCTGTGATGAACGTCATTACCATCAACACACAAGTACTAAATAGGATTGAATAGCTGATAATGAGTAGGATTCGTATCTGAAGCCTTCCAAAGCTGCCAATCTTCTCGATAGCTTCCTCTGATAGTATTGCCATTTCTATTCTGGTAGAAATAAGAAAACTATAAAGTGACAAAAATGCGAGGGAAGAACTATAAAATGTGATCAACAATCGTTTTGAGTTTTGTGTTTATGTTATAGCATGGGCTTTAGGAGAATATTTGGTTTGTGACGGGGAAAATGCATGTTAGTAGACCAAATAAATCACTAATTACTCACTTGGATCTGTCATAGTTAATAGTTAATAGTAAATGTCTATTAACTATGGATCTGTCTATCTATGTTTTATTGATTGTTATGTAAGTCTCCGATGAATGAAATGATAAAATATAGCGGGTTCATTAAAAAGACAAAGATGGCGGTTAGAATCGAATAAAGCTAAGGGGGTCAAACGACCATTTAATTCATGTTTATTCATGGCAGACTAACGTAACAATCAATAAAACATGGATAGACAGATCCATAGTGAATAGACATTTACTATTAACTATTAACTATTATAAAATAACTGTTATGAATGTCGCGTTCTGATTGGTTTGGAGCGCGTGCTTTATGAGAGCACATTGCACGCGCGCGCACTTTCCGTTGCATCATTCCTATCTATTATTGTAATTTGTAATTTGTATTTTATAAAAGAAATAAAAAAACTTGCTTGCTGTGCTCTGAGCAGCCATAAAG